AAAAAAAAAAAAAAAAAAAACACAGATGATTCAGGTATCAGGACATGACACAGGGAGATCAAAGCTACTCCACCAAACAGCAGGCACACTACAGGTAAATCTTAAAATAATTGAGGGAAGGCAGAAAGGGAAAGTAGTCCCATTCCTTCTAGCTTTAAGAGGAAAAGAAGTGTTTTCAATCTTTCAGCAAGCATACATTGCCCAATGGTCAGCCATGGAAAGGAACAATCTGGAGTGAAATCAGTGTTTTATTTACACAGCTGGTTGGCTTGATCAGATCATTTTGATCAGCCAAAAGGAGAAGACTAAGAAAAATTAAGTGGAAAAAAATGAGACTGCACCGTCTCACAACTGGTTTGAATTTCTTATGACCATGCCTTAAAGAAAACAGTCTTTTCAAGCCTGACTAGAAAATCAGGTGTACAAATTGTTTCATAGTCATTCAAACAAACTGGGAGTCTTTGGTTAGATTAAGTGATACCAACTGAGTTTCAGTGCATGTATATGTAGAAGGCAATAATCCCAAGAGAAAGCAGATCAGCTGGGCAGCACAGCATCTCATGATGACTTTCAAAAGTAACATTTCTAGGTCCAAGAATGTACTAATGAGCTATGGTCAGCCCAAACATATCCAGTGTCACATATGACTGTCCTGCAGTGTTTTTCTGAAAAGGGGCTGTTGATTGAGTTCTGGATTCATTTTTGTTACAGTCTGGCAAGTTTTCATGAACAACAAATTCCCTTGTATTAACAGAATTTTTCAGGTATGGGTTGAATGTAGCAGCTTCTTTGAAATCTGTGTGTTCGACATCTTCATTTTCATTGTCTTTGGAACTTGACTTTTGGACAGGAGAGAACTGGGGCTTGGAAAAATCCTCTTCCAGTTTTTCTACAGGGTAAATTTTTCTGTTAGGTTTCACAGCTGAAAGCACTTGACTCCTGAAGTCTTGTTCAGTAACTATGTATGGCAGTGACAGTGAGACTGATTTTACAACTTCATGTTCTTTATTACATAATTCCTTTTTGTGATCATTAGGAACATCCTTTGCACCAGTATCTGTATGGTCAGACTCATAATTTTCATGTTTAATTAGTAATAATTCAGTTTGATTTTCATGAGGCATGCCTGGCTCCAAAACACTGATGTCTTCAGAGCCTACCGTTCCATCCTCAGACTGTCCTTGCTTCAGTAATGAATTACACTGTCAGTTTAAAAAGAAAGACTTGAAACTTATACCAGTACAAAGAAAGATAAAAGACAAGAAGCTATTTGAAAATCAGCACCTGAACAGCTCTAAGTCTTCACATTTAAGAACTCAGCTAATGAAACTAAGATGTTCATTACTGTTGATACACACTTGCACTCTAAAAATGGAACTGTGAGGCTACATCTTTGTCTCTTATTGACTCCATATCAAGATTTTCAATTAACTATTTTCTCTAAGTTTGGTATTTTTCAATTGGAAAACAAACAAATTGATACCAATTTGCCATACGCAGACAGCTTCCCTGGAGGTATGCATGAAAGGGAGTTTGTTTAACTAATGAAGCCTGAATTTAGGCTGGGCTTAGCCAGTATAGTTGCTCTAAATCCCATCTAAATGCAACATTTTTCTCAGTGCAGTTGCACAGTAACTGCTGAAGTGTCTCTCTACTGGAAATTTTGTGACTGAACTGAAGCAAACACAATGAGCTTGTAACAATCAAATGAAAGGGTGAAAATCTGATGAACCATAGAATGGTGAAAATTCACAAAACCATAGAAAATTAGGATTTGAAGGGACCACAAGAGGTCATCTAGTCCAACCTCCTGCTGCAAGCAGGACCATCCCCAGCTATATCATCCCAGCCAAGGCTTTGTGCAGCTGGATCTTAAAAACCTCTAAGGATGGAAATTCCACAACCTCTCTGGGTAACCTGTTCCAGGGCTTGACCTTCCTAGTGAGAAAGTTTTTCCTAATATGTAACCTAAACTTCTGTTGCTGCAACTGGAGACCACTGCTCCTTGTTTTGTCATCTGCCACCGTAGAGGACAGCCCAGCTCCATCCTCTTCAGAACCACCCTTCAGGCAGTTGAAGGTAGCTATTAAATTTCCTCTCGTTCTTTTCTTCTCCAGACTAAAGAAGCCCACTTCCCTCAGCCTCTGCTCATAAGTCACGTATCCCAGCCCCCTAACCATTTTCAGTGCCCTCTGCTGGGTTCTCTCCAATTTCTCTATATCCCTTCTGTACTGGGGGACCCAAAACTGGACACAATACTCCAGATGTAGCCTCACCAGTGCTGGAGAGGGAAATAATCACTTCCCTAAGTCTGCTGGTAGCACTCTTACTAATGCAGCCTTGGAAGCTATTAGCTTTCTTGGCAATTAGGGCACGTTGTTGGCTCCTATTCATCTTATTGTCCACTGTAACCCCTGGGTCCTTTTCTGACTGGCTGCTTAGCCAGTCAGTCCCCAGTCTATCCTTAATTATTAGCCATGCCTATAAGTACTTTAGATATTTTTTGACTGGGAAAAATGGTCAAGTTTAATTTGAGTTTAGCTAATACACTTTTCATGGTATATAAACAAGGTAAAATCTCATGGTTAGAATTCAACCACTTCAAATTGAACTAATGATGTTACTGTGCAGATACACAGGGGAAAATATTGCATTTAGGTTGGATTTAGCAAGATTGTGCTGGCTAAGCTCAATCTAAACTCAATCTTCATTAGCAAAGGCAAGCCCTGTTGTATTTATAAATCCCAGGAAGTTATTTGCTTATAGCATTTCATTTCCTCAAATCCTTACAGTAAATGTTTATATGGATTTGAAATGAATACATCAGAATTGCAATCCATGGACTCACAAACCCTGTATGCTAGCTCTACATAGGAAGGCAAAGAAGAATGACTGGAAAAATTTAAAGGAAAACTAAAGCCATATCTAGACCACAGGCTGACCGTGCCAGGCAGGGTGCCCTCAACATACTGCGCTGTTCTACATAGGCTACCTCCTAAACTGGAAGTAGCGTAATGCCCTCAAATGGCCTGCAGTCCAGGCAGTGCCAAAGGGTAACATACACACATGCTTGTGAAAGAGTACAAGGATAGCATACAGCTTCCTGTACACTCAGCATGTGTTATGGCAGTCAGGCCAAGATGTTTTTCATAATGGTCTGTCATCTGACAGTTTTACCAGTATGGCTGTTTCCTTCTATATTATATGATTTTGCCTTGTAAAAAAGTGTTTAATAAATAATATAAACACCCGACTCTGATTCATATTTTAGGACATGATCTCTAAGAGACATGGCACTCTATTGACCATATGCATTACGCTAGAGTTCTCTAGTTTATTTAGCAAGACAGACAGACAGACATCTTGTACTTCAATATTGTAATTATTCAAGATGTACTTCAACAGTGTAATTATCCTGCTATTTTAAAGTACCAAATTTAGAGTCCAATGAAGGTGTCTGTGAGATAAAAGGTGAACTGTCATCCAGTCAATTCAACCTTGGTGAAACATAATTTTAATTACCAGTGTAACCCAAGAGATCTGTTGCACTTCAATTGTTTATCAAAAAATTAATCATATCATACATTTGTATTATTAAATAGACATAAGATATTACCATAAATACATCCTCTGACCCTACCACAATGCTCTTTGCAGGATTTGGTACATCAGGCCAACAAACCCTTTTCAACCTGCAAGTAAGAAACAGAAAGTGGTCATTTGAGGTACAAATTAGATTACTAAAATTGTGAACACCAAAGAAATACCGGGAAATAAATCAATGAAGTATAGAATAGCAAATATTTATCAATGGAATATAAATGTAATCATTTTAATAAGTGAAATTGCATTTCTTCAAGCCAATTTCTATTTACTGTTTATATCAGATGTCAAATATAAAACTAGGGCTAGGGAAAAAATAGTCAAAAAACAAGGAAATGTCTTCTCCAAAACCAGTGGTTATAATTAAACAGTGAAATGAGAGCTGCAACTGTAACTGCTTAAGCTAAAAAACTACAAACCTTTAGAATTACTATTTGCCTATATTAGGCTTATAATCAAGGCTGTTTGAGTGCTGTATTAGGCCAGGGGTCAGCCATCTGCAACCATCTGCTGGGCTGGATTCAGCCAGCAAAGGTATTGTATACAGCCTGTGAAGTCAGGACAGCAGTACTGTTCAGCAGCGGGGCTATTTGATCACATTTGGCAGCAGGGGAATCTATGGCATGGGGAACCATGTGGTGGCACATGGCAAAAGAAAATGGTGTCATTCAGCAACAGAGCAAATTAGCAGTGACTGGGCAGCATCTACATGAGACATTTACTCTGCAGTAGACTAATTAGCCATACAAAAATATCTTGTCATTTACACTCTGGAGCAATAAAGCAATAAACTCCAGAGTTTATTGCACATGTAGACATATTCATTGTGTCATAGCTGGTGGCCCAACTTAGACTGAGCTCAACTTATTTAGCCCACCACAGGTCATAGGTTGCCAACTCCTGCATTAGGCTATTTTTTCAGTTCAGTTATCTCTAGTTATCCACTCCGATTCTAGTTAGAGTGGGCAATGGCTGTATCCACACGTGCAGGTACATACAGTTTGTGGCACCACAAACTACATGCCTTGCATGTTAAACCATACACCGCACTATTAACATGCAGTGTGGCAGCAAAAAAATGGGATTTCCCAATAGCAAAAAAACCCCCAAAAAACAAACCTCTGATAAAAAACAGGCCAAAGCATGTGAAAGTAGCATGTGCCCAGACAAATGTGGAGACTGGGGAACAGGAAGTCCCAGGCACCCTGTGCCCCAGCAAACCACAGAGTAGCACATAGAGCCCCTGAACTAAGGCACACTGTACCCCAGCCTGCCACTCTGTGGGCAGCTGGGTATACCCTACAGCTGGCTGGGACACAGTGTGCCTTGAGATGGGAGAGCAGGCAGCCCTGGGCTGGATGCTCCTGTCTCCACATGCCACAACACAAGCTCTCTGCCCAGGACAACCAGCTGTGCTGCCCAGGGCATGTGCACCTCAGCATGGGAGCTCCATAGTCCAGGGCTGCCTGCTCTCCTGTTGCCATGTGCCACTCCCTGGCTGGCTGGGGCGCACAGTGCCTCAGACCAAGCTACCTGCCAGCTAGCCTTGTGCTGAGGCACCCTGTGCCCCAACCAGCCCTACCTACAGCATATGAAACCCACCTAGGAGCCAGGAGGAGCTGGGCATGGGCAGCTTGCCTAAAGAGGGACAATTTCTATCTCAACAAAGCACATGTACAGGGGCATGCACTGCAGCACAAACAGCACAAATTTGTGCTGCTGCAAGTACACACCCCTGCTCTTCTGGATGTGGCCGATGTGTGCTAATAAACTCCAGAGTTTACTGCACCAGAGTTTATTGCTCCCAGGTGCACCTGAGGGCAAAAAACTCCAGAGTGTATTACTTCAGAGTTTATTCGTGTGCAGCATATTCAGTCCAGTTAGAACAGCCCTGGTTTGCAGCAGCGCAGGGCTGCTCTGACCAGGCTCAATGTGCTGCAGAGGGGCTGGCTGGGGCATGAGGGTGCTTCAGGGCTAGTGGGCAGCCTCCACACTGAAGAGCCCTCGAGCTCCAGCCAGCTGACAGTGTCTACCCATGCACTGCTGCACACGAAAAAACTCCAGAGCAGGCTAGTACTTATATTTACAAGTGTAAATTTTAAATTTAAATTTACAAGTGGAAATGAAGGCATTTTTAAAACATGTTTTAAATCCTAAAAGGGATTAATAATCAGCATGTTTGTAAGCAACTGAAAAGAGGCTCTTAAAATGGGGACTATCAGGCATCCTTAATAATAGGTGGCACTGTAATCCGTGCCTATAACACACCTGGTAATACATAACTTACATCACTTCCATTGCACTCTCATTTTTTTAATCTGTCATGTTCTTAAGAAGCTAAGGCTTGATCCTGGAAATACTTAAAATATGTGTTTTAATTTTACTTCTAGGAATTTAATGAGGCTATTAACATGACAAGTTATCTGCATCTGTGGACACTGGCAGATTCCAGGTTAGAACTTGTACTCTTTGCTATAGTTTATCTTGAATAGTAACAAAAACAGTTAATAAATAACGCAAACTATCTTTGTGAATGCTTTAAAGTGGCTTTTTCCACACTTTTATATGTAATTGCAGGAATTGCCTCTACATTTGGAATTGACTTTAAATTTACTTGAAATTTACTAGCCTGCTCAGGAATTTATAGTTTCATGCACTCTAATAGGGCACACATGTAGACAGAGATGTTTACTGTGGAGCTAATTAGGCAGATAATGTCTTGTGTAGACATACCCAGTGATCACGCTATAAAATACTCCCTGAACTATGCAGAGCTGTTATATTAGCAGCTGATGACATAGCAACTCAAGCAGAAGCCAACACTCCATGGGAGCTTGTATACATGATATTCATCAACACATACACATGATGAAAGTGTTACTTGTGCAGCTTAATGGTGTCACACAATACACTTGTGCCAGTTTTGGGGGTTTTAGATGAGTTTGCATCATTGCAAACCAAATTACATCTGGATGTAGTTTAGTTTGCAACACTGCAAATTGCAGTGATGCAGCTTGCCCCCCAGCTGCAGGAGAGGCAGGCAGACTCTGCAGAAAAAAAAAGGATTGGGCCCTGTCACGGAGTGCGGCCTGCAAGCGGCCGTGATCCCGCTAGCGCCCCCTTTCCGTGGCAATTAGGAGATCTAGCACCCTCGGATTCTCGCCCGCCACGTCCTTGTTCTTATTTAAGGTAATATGGGAGGCTGCCTATGATCTCCTGCTATTTAAGGGTGACTTGGTGCACCCCAGCCTTATGGGCTATGCGTGCCTCCAACCTCCCCTTTAGCACACCCCAAGCCTTGCAGCTGTTCCTGACGTTCGTGTCTCCCAGCTTCCGCTAGCCCTTCCCGGGCTTCACTCTTACCGGCTGGCCCCCCCCCC